GAAATGATTTTCGGTGAAATGATCGTCGGCGAAATATTACGTCGGTGAAATGATTTTCGGCGTTATGATTGCCTCCCTAACAATATATTCCTAATAAATTAGCGAGTGATAATTCGAATTTTAATAAGCTCACTTTTTTTTTTGCTGAACAAACTAGCGTTTGATATATGAGAAACATGAATTGAGAATATGATACATTATTGGGGGGGGGGTACGATATCCATAGTAATACAAACATAGTAATAGGGGAAGTCACATATGAAGTCCGTATATGAGGTTTTTTCACCGATCATTTCCCGATAATATTAATATAATCTTGTCATGGCCAGTCATATTTTTATTGTAAAGATTTTGAACCCACATTTTTTATTTGTTGACTCAGCTTCAGCCAATACTGTTAATTTACGTAATGTAAGCTCTTTATTTTCCTCTTTCTTATGTAAACCTTTCCTTGTGGCAACAATCAATACAAAACCTATCTTCCAGTTTTAAAGTACCGTAAACTGTCATGAATAAGGGCCGTAATATTATGAAATAGCTGCTCCTTTATCACGTCAACAATTGACGTCATATATTACTTTATTTAGTATTGCTAATTTATTATAATTCAACTTCACAAACACTCTCTGGTAAAACTATAGCTGGTTCATCCCCCTTCCCAGCACCTTCCTTCCATATTAAATTGTCTTCTGCACCATTGTGAATCATTAGATAGCCCACATGTTTAAAGAAGTTTACTATAATATATAATATCACATCGCAAAGTAATCGTTGTGCGAGTAATCATTGCGCAATTAATCTTGGCTTAACCATAAAAATAAGACAAGTTATAATCATAAACGACAACAATAATTCGAACTATATTAAGAAAGACGGGTTTGAAAATCATATGAAATGGTGGTTCGTGAATATGTAATAAACAGAGATAACGTGGACAGAGTGTATAAATAGATTTCAGTAAAATTGCGTAGATCCGCTGTCACGTGTTTACATTTAATAGTTTCTATTGCTATTTAATATGCATGTGACTGTTTATTTACCACGCCCGCATACAGTTACCTGGATATTGTAAAGTAAACGCAACAATGAGATCACACGTTTAACGGTGTCCCTGAATTTCTACAGTAATCGATCGTAAGGACAGGCGGTAGTACAGTCAGGGCTTTGTTGACGTTGATCACACTCTTTATGTTAAGGGACAAAGTATTGCACAGTTTTATTTTTATATGCAATAACAATTTTTTTTCGAAATATCTAATCACAGCAAACAAAACGTCAATGTGTTTGTATAAGAGCTGACTAACGATGACGTATTCTTGATCAGTTGCACGACTGCAGTGCAAAGCAGATTGCGATGCTAAAAATAAACCAATTTGTAGTCCGAAAAGATATATAAGCAACACAGTGTAGACTGAGCATCGATACCCTCCTTATCTTATCAATGAACGAGCATCAATTTACTCTGAATTCATAAAGTCTTTCTTGAAGAACCCGTTATAATTTTTATTTGACATATACGATATTCATACGACTTTATTTCCAAGCTACGATATCCTGCTACAAGCTCGCTAAAGCTAGTTTTAACATAACAAAGTCAGAGGTGAAATAAGAAAGTGGCCAGAATTTATTCACGTAAACAGCTAATAGAGGATCGAACACTCACCGAATACAATATTGAACAACTGTCACTCGTACTATTGATAAGTACCTTAACGGAATTACTCCTCCCCCGATCTGGCTGTCTGAAATGATGTACGGTAGACTGCTAAAGCTGTTTAGTGGCATTTTTGGTCAAGTACTAGGTTGTAGTATTGGCCGTGGATACACAGACTTATGTGCAGCAGTCGGCATTGGCGCGAAGAGCTCCAGATATGGAATGAAGTCGATGGCATATTTACTGATTCTCTCTGATGTCAGCTACGATGAGTCAACAAAACATTATTTGCTGCAATAAACCCTAAAAGGTTGCAAGCATTTTTAGGAATTTAGAATTGGAGCAGATGGCCGTTTATTAGAACGGGTATGGCAAATGGAATTCTATCGTGCAGCAACACAAGATCGTTGTCGGCGGGATGGATATGATAGGGCAGGCGATAGAATTATCACGGCATTCTCATGTTGTAATATCTACGCCTGGTCGATTAGTTGATCACATAAGAAACAGCGGCGATTCAGTTTATTTGAAAAGACTATGCTTTCTGGTAATCAATTCTCTATCACTCCTCTTTCCACCGCTTTATTAATTATCATATTATTAACAAGAATATGTATTGATGTAGATCCTTGATGAGGCTGACCGTCTCTTGTCACCCACGTTTGCCATTGATTTGTCCATAATATTTGACAATATTCCAACGAAAAGGCAGACATTGCTATTCACCGCCACGATGACTGATAGCATCCTGGCACTAGGAAGTGAAGAGGAACGAGAAGAAAAAGCCGTTTGTGTATCTGATGAATTTTTGGTTCCAAAGTTAATTCAAAGTACGTATATAAGATGATCGTTTTGAGCATGTATTAACGCTTACGCGACCTTAATGTTGTGAAAAACGACATTTCTTTGATCGTGGCTTTAATGATCGCATGTAACGTTGTTATTTATATACTATACGCGATTACATCATCATTGACACAGTACTATGTGTTTATCCCGTCTCATGTACGCGAGCCATACCTGGTATATCTGCTAAATAGAGAAGAATTAAACGGAAAGTCGACAATCATATTCTGTGGGCAGCCGAGTTGTTGAGAGTGATGCTTTCCAAATTAGGGGAATGGCTAAAGCGGAGCAGAACGTGATTCTGTGTTTGCAGTTTTATTGGCTGCCATACAAATTTGACCAATGGAATGCGAGGGATCTGCTCCGCTTTAGACATACCCCAAATTAGATATACGATGTGCAAGCCTGCATTCGGTAATGAGTCGAAAGAGCGACTAAACAGTCTTGACAAATTCAGAGCTGAAGCAGTCAAAGTGTTAATAGCTACTGATGTTGGTAGTCGGTATGTGACACGATTACGCACTTATTTTATAATAATTTACATAATATACGGGTTATTTATATAATATACGGTACATACGATTATTCTAAGTATCTAGTGCTATCATTATGACCTTTCCACGTTAGTGGCATCATTCTTTTTCTCCGATATCGTTCAACGCCTGTTACTATCTAGATACGGGTTCAAAATATCTCTTCACGCCTTTGCACCATCTTGTACTCCCTTTTGGCTTTTGTTCTTCCAAAAGATCAAGCGCCTTTCGGATTAGTTCATCAAATGAAGCATCTATGTTATTATCTTCATCATCATCATTCGACGTGATGTTATTTGCGTCAGCCAATTGTCCAATATTTGGTATGATGTCAATATTTGTATCAGTTAACGCCACAGT